CAACTTTGTTTCAAATAGCATGGAGTGTATATAAAACAACGTTTGCTAACTGAATACAACATCCAGCTCCTGGCCACCTTCTCACCACTTGTCAAAGTTACTACTGAAATAGACAACACTTAACGCAACACAATGGCATCATCGACTTGTACAGTACAGATGTGCTGAAAGGCGAGAGTCTCAACTTTCAGCTAAAAAAAGACCGCTCTAGCTATTATAGTTTTTATTTTATGGCAGTTTACAGTTTAAAACGGGATCTTACTAGCAGGGCACCTCCAGCGGCCCGCTGCCGCTCCGTTTTTCATGGGGTAAATAATAGCTCATTTCCCGATTCCAAAAAGAAAGAATGGTCCTACCAGCTCGCCACTTCAATATGAAGAAGATCAGTTCAACATGGGGGAAAAAACCTGACCTGTAGGCCAGAGAAACGTTCATTAGCAAAATCAAGTTTGATTCAGTTTACCTGTAAACATATCACGAATGTACAACAGGTCAATTATTAATCATCTTGGGCTACGTAGCTCAATCTATGCATTCCAGTAGCGTTTGCTACAAACAAATACAAAAACAACAATAAAGGAAAACAACTGTCTGACAGACAGCATAGCCGAATTCAAGGCAACACATAACAATAATCATTCGATTGCTCTTGGTTTCAAGTTAAGCCCATTAAAGTGCTCAAGTAAATAAAAAGTGTTTCAAAAACAGCGTTTTTGAAACCGGAGTTCTGCTCGCGGTGGGAACTCCGCCGAACAAGGTCATTTTTTATAGCGAAAACGATCGACTGGTCACTGACAAGTAAAAGGGTGTTATTGGTAGATGTTAAGAACACTTACCGCTGAGGTAAAATGAGAGTATAAATGAATTGAGGGGAGAAAAAACGCTTTGTTTTTAGCCCGGAAGTATTCCCCAACAGCCAGCTTTTCATGGTTACCCACGACGTGGAAGGAGCAAATCAGGAGAGGGACCTCACATCAGCTGACGTGGGTCATGTGACAGGGAGTAGTTGATATGGGTTACACTTTGTTGTGCTTTTATTACAGAAATATTATTATTATCATCACTATTATTATTAAGAATATGCGATGTCTATGTTTTGTTTATGTATTGGTTGATGCTAAAAAAAAATTTTTTTTTAGAAAAAAAATAAAAATAAAAAAGGAAATTAAATGCCGCCCCCTGCAGACTGCCGCCCTGTTACGGCCGCACATGTTGCACATATCAAGCTCCGCCCCTGCGGTCAAGAGCTTTATTGTTAAAACATGAAGAGTGTGTAACAGTACCTCAGACATCCGTTAGACATCCCTCCTTCACCCAGACACTTAGGGAGGTTATTTCATAATGTGAAGTAAATCTTATTAAACGTTACTGTGAAGTAAATGTTAAACATTCATGTTGATTAATTAATTATTAAATCACTTTAGATTTAGACATATTGTCCATTCAACAAAATGATTATATAAACTTATAGATTGTCATAATTGTCCCAGGCATTTTGAGCCACCCGTCACTGCTTTCAAAGCGATCTGAGGTGTGTTGGGTGACCTTACAAATGCCAGCTCTGTTTCAATTTCGATTAAATTCAACTCAGTTTATTCATATAGAGCCACATCACAAGATGTCTGTGTATGACTGTATATGTCAGGTGGGGCCTTTGACTCCTCCCCTCTTCTGGGACTTCTTTTGATGATATACATCTTCGTCTCCCCTCCCCTGCCACACCTGGAGTGGAGTGTGGTGCCTTGGTCTGCCTGAGTGTTCGTAGGCTCCCGGGTCAGGGGTTTATGATTTTTGGCGTCTGCCTAGATCAATCCCGTTGTCCCTGGGATCTGCTGGGTCCCCGGCGGGGGTGGTTGCCCCTGGATTCTGGGTCGCTAGGTTCCGGGCTCGGCTGGCTAGGGGATGGGAGGCTGCGGGCGGGTCTGTGGGCTTGCCGCTGATATCTCCCGGGACTCTGCCGGATGCTAGTTGTGGCCCCCCGGGGCGATCCTCTGCGCCTCTCGAGGGGGGTGGGGGCTTTTCTGGTTGCAGTCTCCTGGGGTCCCTGTGCTCTGGGGCAGGTCTTGGATCTCTGGGACTTGGAGCTCCCTCCATCTCCTACACATCTTTGGGGTCGGATCTGTGCCTCTCACACTCTCTATGGACGCTCCTATAGAGAAACCTTACATAAACAAGCACGTGTACACACACAGGTGCTCACATGGTGCTCTCATCAGTATGGACTTGGCACGTTCAACACATGTCTTAAGGCTGTGGTTGGCACTAAATGCACTGTGATTTATTATCGCGTGATTGTTCAGTAAAACAATGTTGATTTTATATTTCTTCATCAAGTTGAAGCAGTGATAGTTTGCGCCTGACGTATTGTGTGTCCCCTTTCTGCAGGTCAAGGTTCATCATTGGTTGTTTCTTTTTGTGGAACCCCCCACCCCCACCTTTGTCTCTTCCTTTCTCTTTCACCTCTGACTCCGTGTCTGGTCGGAATTACAAAGCATTCAAAAAAACAACAATAAAGTTTTAAGTATCAGGCGTGACATTAAAAGCAGACGCTTTGACGCTCCACCTGAGAGTAAATCTGTAAGGCTTGTTACCAGCATTCAGACATTAACTCTGTTTGCTTCACAGCCAGACAGGACACGGAGGAAAAAAAAACCTTCACTTTTCAATGTAACCTTCCTCACAACACGATCGAGACCGTAGACTCTTGTGATTATTTCACTGTAAAATTATTACATATTGCTCCTTTAAAGGGGACGTTCACTTAAGCCTGATTTATGCGTCTCCGTCTGCGTCAGTGCGGAGACACGCAACGCCATTATCCGTCCTTGCGTAGGGCTCCGGCTGGCACGCAAGTACGGACGGAGTCGGGCCCACTTTTTTAAACATCCGTCGAACGAGACGGATTACGCAAGCTTGTGATTGGTCAGGACGCCACTGTTGTTACAGCGCCACCATTGCAAAGAGAGCAGAGGATAACTAGCGGCAGACACGGAGAAGCTTGAAGAATACCTCGCGAAAAAACTCTAAAAATATGAACGTTTAATTCTCCGTGACTGGAGGAGTGAAAAGATGCACAGCAAGCATTTTATTTGTGGACGGGAATGACAGGAAACGTGGGTTTAGAGGTGGGGAGCGCACGAAGAGGTGGGAGAATGAGAGACAAATATGTCCGTGTTAAAAGTCTCTATTATTATGCTTTTATTACTTCTCGTTTGGACTACGCAAACTCACTGGTCATTGGTGCTCCTGCTTCAGCTTTGAACCGGCTGCAGGTTGGCAGAATGCTGCTGCTAGGTTTCTGACTAACACAAACAGGAGTAGTCACATCACCCTGGTTTTGGCACATCTACACTGGCTGCCTGTGACCTTCAGGGTGAGATTCAAGATTTTACCCTTTGTCTAAGGTACTGAATGACATCGCACCCTTCTACATATCAGAGCTGCTCATGCCCTATGTGCTGGTGCGTTCTCTGAGGTTAGCTGGCCATTTGCTGCTGTGGACCCAAAAATTAACTACAAAGCAAAGGGGAGCGGGCTTTGTGTAATGTTGGACCCGTCCTTTGGAAATCCATATGGCAGCCGTCATCTGTCTCGGTCTTCAAGTCAAAACTGAAGACTAATTTCTGTAACTTGGCTTTTGGCGTATGGCCATTTTTTATGCTTGTTTTTATTGCCTGTGCTGTTTTATTGGTTGTTTTACTTGTTTTTACTGTTTGTTCTTGTTAACATTTTTATTGAACTGTTTTCATAGTTCTATTATGGCCTTCTGTAGGGCGCTTGGTCAGCTCTCACGCTGTGTTGAAATGCCCTGTTACAAATAAATTGGTATGGTATGTTGAGTTTTAACAAGTGGTAAAAGTGGGAAGCGTGCTTTTAAAAATACTCTGTCTTAATGTTTTGGTGTGGCGCATGGACGCACCACAAAACTTATTATCAAAATGTCTCGGACCTGCAGACCATTAGCACCGGTTCCCCTCAGGCTGTGTTCTCTCCCCTCTGCTCTTCTCCTGTACACCAACAGCTGCACCTCCAAACACGAGTCTGTCAAGCTTATCAAGTTTGTAGACGACACATCGTCACCAAACTCATCTCTCATGGGGATGAGTCTGTCTACAGAAAAGAGGTCGAACGGCTGGTGTCCTGGTGCGGCCACATCAACCTGGTGCTAAACACCCAGAAGACAGCTGAGATTGTTGTAGACTTTAGGAAGCACTCAGCGTCACTCCACCTCATAACCCGGTCTGACACTCCCATCACGATGGTGGACTCATGTTGCTTCCAGGGCACCACCATCATCCAGGACCTCAAGTAGGAGCCCACCATCACCTCTATCATAAAAAGGCCCATCAGAGGATGAACTTCCTAAGGCAGCTGAAGAAATTAAACCTCAGTCAACGAGGCAGTTCTTCACCGCAATCATCAAATTTGTGTCTCTCTTCCACATGCTGCCAGTAATATTGTTGTGCAGTAGAGACTACAGAATAAATCATGCCACGGTGTATTTAGCACTACCACCCACAATAAGTACAATAGTGTAATACACAATGCCTTCATTTGTCTCATATAATTTTACACATGGCACAGTTTTTGCACTTTTGCACATTGGTGGGGGGTGGGCTGATTCAGGGTTACCACCCACCCCCATCTTTCTCCAGAGTGTAGGCTACTGTGTAGGAGAGCCAGCTAGAGAGTAAACAACTTCCAGCACATTACTTCTAAATATGGCTACAGTGGTGCACCTCAGGTATACTGAAAGCTAACAAGTTAAAAACTTTAAAGTAAGACAACACACACGTGCTGTACCGTTATTTTAACTTCAGGAATATTAAATTCCTTTATCTGGGTAAAGAAAACCAAATAACTATTTTGAGGATTCTGTGAAAGACTTCATATTTGTTTAGAATGGGCCAAAGAGGTAAAGAACGTGGTCATTGCGCGCCCTCTTGCGGTGGGTTAATGTTTACTACAAACTTCCGCTCGGCAAACGCAAATTCCGGTTGTGCAGCAGCCATTTTGTCTGCTCGGATAAACCCTGACGCTGCGAACAGCAGTTCCACCTTTAAAACAAATCAAAATGTAGTTTCGGCTCTTCTCTTCTGCGATGACTGTCATTTAAAATTCGTATTCCACTCTTGAGAACACGAGAGGTTAGTCTTCTTCGAGATAAATGCAGATTTCAGCGTAAAAAGCGCGGGTAAAGCTGAAGACATGTCGTGCGAGGAAAGCTACCTGGCTATCATGCGCTATCTGACGGATGAACGGGAGCCATATGCACCGGGGACGCCCGGTAACACCAAGAGAAAAATACGCAAAGCAGCCGCCTGCTATGTTGTCCGAAACGGAACGTTATTTTACCAGCGTCGACAGAAGGGCCAGAATGAGTTCACGGAGCTGGAGGTGGTGCTGCGTGACAGCAGGAGGAAGGAACTCATCAACCAGGCACACATTTTGGAGACAGGGGAGCACTTAACCAGCCGCTCACCTGGGAGGTGATCTCCCAAAAGTACTGGTGGAGAGGTAAGAGACCGAGACCCAAATGAAGGTAGGTGAGGAGGTCACCGCTTCAGGTCAGAGGACTGAAAACACAGAACGTCCATCACGAAGCGGTCCACCACAGAGCGACTCGCTGCTGCCATCTGGTGGTTGAGTGTTGTGTGCATCGGTAATTCTGAAAGCTCTGCGTCACCGTAGCTCCATCCATCCCCAGGATTCAAACTCCCTTACTAAAAGTAAAACACATATATTAAAGTGCACACATTACACGATCTCAAAGGTTGAAGTATCTTCCTCTTATTATCAGCAATTAATCAGCTTTATTTTTATAGCAGAATTAAAAAGATTGATCAAAGTGAATGTTTAAGAAAATGCACATTAAGACCAATTAAACTGCAGTAATAATAATAAAATCAACAATAACAGTAAAAACAACAGTAAAGCAATCAAACTATAATAAGATACTCAAAAGCTAAAGAAAATAGATGTATTTTTCAAATTACTTAAAAATCACTGTAGAAGGGAGTTTTCCACCCAAGTAGGATGATTTTTTTTTTCAAAGTTTTGGGGCTGTTACAGCGAATGCCCAATCACCTTTTCCAACACGTGCAGACAGAGGGACAGTTAAATATAATTGTTTGCTGATCTTAGACATCGAGTGTTAACAGTGGAACCTGATTTGCCTATCTCAGCTGTCTGTAGAGGATTCTGAAGACGCCTGGATATCCGTGGTGTTGGTGTCAGGCTTCCTGCTCTTTGACCTATGAGGCTTCCTGGCTTAGTGGAAAATTAACGAGCTGTCGAGGAATATTGGCGCTCTCCCCGAGTTTAGGGATGGATTACACTGCGCTGTGAATTCACAGACTCATATAATTGTCGATGAGTGGTAAGCTTGGAACTTTGGCTGAGATTCGTGCGTTGGCACCATCGACATTTACATGTATGGACAATGGGTTTCCATAGACTCCAATAACACGTTTTTGAGGAGAAATGGGAGGTGGCCACCACCGCCATTTTGACCGTGCCACAGGTTCCGTCAAGCCCAGACAATTCCATAAAAGGGAAGAGAGGTGGAGCTGAGGGTGGGGCTGTAAGGCTGGGATAAACTGACGACACCGGTCGAACTAGCTACAAGCTAACACGGAAGTGGAGCTAAGCTAACGGAGGTAGCAACCTAGCTACAACCAGAGTTAACTGTGCACAACACCAGACTGTGCACAACACCAGAGCTCCTGAGTCAGAGATACGCCGGGCTGACCGCTGGGTAAAACCGGGTGGAACACAGAGGTCTCCGAGACCTCCACAAGCCGGCAGCCGCACAGCAGACAAGCGCCGCTGCAATCTGAGATGTGCAGAGCTGCTGCTGGGGAGAACCGGGTGGAAAGGTTTCCATCCCAGAGCTCCACAAGCCGGCAGCCCGCGCAGCAGACAGAAGCCGCGATCAGACAGAGATGCGCCGGGCTGTGGGGAGGGTAGAACCGGGTGGAAAACATCGGTCTCCCGAGAGCTCCACAAGCCGATAGTGGGAACCCAGCTCCACCAACATGTTATATTTCAACCCATTTTCTAAAGTGCAGCATTATGTTAAATGCACTGGGTTTTACCCTATTACATTTAAATTTCATGGTTAAACAGTACATGTTAAAATCTAAGCTCAGCTCGGCAGTGACCTAAAATACATAAATATAATTTTACTTATCGAAAAAAATGAAGTGGAGACTTATTTTGTGTGATGTCTGAAGTCTGTTGCATTTCTGTCTGAGGTGTTTTTTGCAGAGCAAAGCTGCCCTCCCTGTGGAGAGTAACTCTGAAGTGCCTTTTTTTCCTCCACCTGAACCAATCCTCATATAAACCCTCTGATCTCTATTAAGGTAGCGCGACTCAGGGTTGCGAATGACCACAGTCACCAATTCTTGTCATGTGTCTTTGCCCATGTATGTCTGATCTCTGAATTGTGTGTACTGAAACTCTAATTTCCCTCTGGGATTAATAAAGTATCTTTGAATTGAATTGAATTTGAATTATACGGGGAAAGGAGCTCAGTAATAACTGCAGGGGCCATACCATTAAGAGCTTTAAAAGCATATCACAAAATCTTGAAAACCACACAGTATTTAACTGGAAGCCAGTGCAGGGACATTAAAATAGGACTGATGTGCTCTATCTTGTTGGTTCCAGTTAAGTGTAGCTGCAGAAATTTGCATCAGCTGCAGACGATAAACTCACATGTCGCTAGCACGTCTGTCATCAGCAGGTGTCGGGCCAGGCTGGTGTCAGGCTTCATAAATGCGGTGGTCATTCCACCAGTGTTGGTTTTTCTAATGCCCACATTTAGAAAACATAGTCAGCTGATGGTCCATATGTGCGTTTCATTATTTTGGGCTGGATCAAATCAAAGCTTTATTTATAAAGCGCCTTCCGCAACCCTGTCAGGAAGCCCAAGGCGCTGAACATGGAACAGTACAAAGTTAAATAAAGTGAATAAATCAGAAAATAAAAGCAATTCAAATTACTGATTACAAATTACAAAAAAAGGTGAAACATTCTAGTAGAAGATGCACACAGTTTCTTAACCTGGATCAGTTTTTCAACTCTGAATTTAACCAACTGTTCAATCTTGATTTTGCGCCCTGCTCGGATTTAGAATAAATAATTTAACCAACGTTGATCAAGTATTAAAATGTAAATCGGGTAAATAATAAAAGTCAGTTGAGGAAAATTTTTTCTAGAATTAATTCAAGCAGATTTTTTTTTCAGGAACATAAATTTACATTAAAATAAAATTTGGCAGCAGCACTGAGCTGCCCACTGATGTGCCCGTTTTTAAATAGGCTCTACTAAGGGGGTATTATCTGATGCCATGCATAAATGGTAAATGATGGCCAACCAACATGTTTGTCTGTCTTTATTGGCCGTCTCTGGGTGCCGGTGCTTCAGAAATGACATCTGTACCTTAAGATAAAAGCTAAAAGGGATTTTGTTGGTTCAAAGTAGTTCCATCACTTGAGCATCATCACGTATCGTCTGGAGTAAGAGCAGAGTCACTGGTACCGTTTTGTTGATACGTAGGTATCCTGAAGAACGTGAAAGACCACATCAAAGAGTGCTCGGACTGTCAGAGCAGACGCGGTGCTGACGACAGCTCTGGACCTCGACCGTTGTCCAGGCAGGGGAAGGGCAGGGCCTGGACTGGCGTGATGGATGAGGAGGAGTATGAAGAGGAGGAAGATGAGGGAGAGGATAGCCTTTTTGTCACAGATTTATCCTCTCTGCAGAAGTCTAGGTTGGCCAAGGGCACGACTAAGCACGAAGTGGTCTTTGTAAGTAGCTGCTCCTTAGAAAATCTCACTTTTGTATCCAGTTTTTTTACATTTCACATGTACAGTTTCTTGGAATTTCAGAGAATTCCTCCCTTCACCCAATCATCTGCAGTGCTAGACCCTCATCGTTTGGTAGTGGTGAGTTGTTTGCTTTGTGCTGCTTTCAGGTTGACAGTAAGGGGGAGGTCAATCGCTTCCTGCCCAAACACAGCCAAACCATGTTGGGCAAACTTAACAAGCAGCGTCTCGATAACCAGTTCTGTGACATCACGCTGCTGATCGAGGGAGAGGAGTACCGTGCTCACAAGGCCGTCCTGGCCGCCTGCAGCGAATACTTCAACGAACTGTTTTTTGAGAAAGGTGCTGTGACCACTCATGAAGCGGTGGTTGACCTGTCAGGTGAGCCGTCTGACTGATTTGCCGTCTGCTCTGACTGTTTTCCACCAGGCCTCATGTTTAATCGCTGTCGTCTTCTGCAGGTTTTGCCAAAGCCAGCTTCCTCCCTCTGCTTGACTTTGCGTACACGTCCATGCTCACGTTCAACTTTTGCATCATGGCCGATATCGCCAACCTGGCCCGACACCTGCTGATGACAGAAGTGCTAGAGATATGCGAGTCGGTGCACAAACAGGTGGAGGAGCAGAAGCTGGCGATGTTCCAGAGGAGAGACGCCGGCACGGGGCCGGCTGCTGCGCAGGACGAGGGCTCGTTCGAGCAGCCTGAAACCTTCATGGTGACTATTCAGGAAGATGGCAGTACGATGGTCACTCACAGCGCCGTTGCCGTATCAGGAGAGTCTTTGGCTTTTGTTGCACAATCCAAAGATGGCTTCATTCAGCAGCCAGTGGCTGTTGTTACTCAGGCTGTGGGGGCGGAGCATTGCATGATGGGGAGGCTGGGCAGAACGAGGCCGTCGCGCTGATCACTCACGGCGGTCAGGTTGAGCCTGGAGAGACCGTCACTCTGATCTCTGGCTGTGCCGAAGAGCTGGGGGATGAGACGATGACGGTGGTGACCCACAGCGGGCAGGCCGGAGCCAGCGAGTCCCTTGCTGTGGTGTCGGCCTGCTTGGCCATGGAGCAGCCGCAGGGTCACTGAGAACGAAGCGTTTGTCATCAGTGTGGACCCTGACAAGGCGAGCTCTTCTGAGGACACGCTGCAGTCAGTAAAGGCAACACACCAGGACGGCGCGACGGAGGTCCAGAAGGTAGAAGCGGCACCTGCACCGGTAAAGCGCAAAAGAGGCCGTCCACCCAAACTAAAAAAGGAGGTGGAGGTGGAGGAGTACGTGCCACTAGAGGAGCCTGCCTCTGCATCTGAAGACCACGCTGATGAGCAGGAAGCAACATCGGATGATCCAAGGAAAAGGAGACTGCGGCAGCGCTCCATGGTCGAGGGAGGCTACGCTCGTCTGCATATGGGGGTGGAAGAAGAAGAGGAGGGGAAAAGTCCATCTCCTCCACACCCCGCCACACCAAAGGTACCAAATAACTTCAAAGTTTAAGAGTTTTGTGTAAAAATCAGCAAACTGGTAATGAAGGTGTTATTTTCAGGTGGGTCTGCGGCATGGGAAAAGAGGCCGACCTCCTAAGAGACCAGTAGAGGACAGACTGGAGGGACAGTTGGTGTCGGAGTCTGTAGCAGAGGACATATCTGTGGAGGACACAACAGCAGGAGAGCTCGGCACGGAGGAGGCCACAGTAAAGGAGTCGGAGCCAGAAGGTGGAGTCAAGCCAGATCAGGCCCCATCAGGGAGCGCCACAGATGGAGAACACACATGCTCTGAGTGTGGCATGTCCTTCCCGAGACGCTACTCTCTCATCATGCACACGCTGAAACACGAGAAGACTCGCGGATACAAGTGCAGCGTGAGTGTTGCTCCTCTGATAATCCACTCATTCTGAGCGTTCCTTCTCTCAGTGTGATGCTTGTGCTGTTGCAGCTGTGCAGTAAAGAGTTCCAGTACGCCGCTTCGCTTCAAGCCCACCTGGCCCGACACAAGAAGCAGGGCCGCCAGCGAGTGCCCACCTCCAGAAACATGGCAGAGGGCTCGGAGGGCAGAGAGGAGGGCGACCTGGACGGGACGTCGCCTCTGGTCAGGAGAGAGTTTGTGTGTGACATCTGTGGTAAGACTCTCCCGAAGCTGTACTCTCTGAGGATCCACATGCTGAACCACACCGGTGTGAGGCCTCACTCCTGCAAGGTGTGCGGCAAGACGTTCGCACACAAACACAGCCTGAAGATGCACCGTGCGCTGCACGACGTCACCAAGCAGTTCCAGTGTGAGTTCTGTAAGAAGCTGTTTGTGAGCAAGAGGAGCATGGAGGAGCACACCAGCCTCCACACAGGTCAGCTAAGGTCAACTTAAGGTTTCAGGGTTTCTGTATCCCTAAGGAATGGATTATCGTAGACTCAGTTTTCTCAATGATACATCTTCAGGTGAATCAAAGTACCTGTGCAACACGTGTGGAGCAACCTTCCATCGAGCTTCTGCTCTAAGCAAACACCTGAAGAAGCACCAGCCCAAACCTGAAGTCCGTCCCTTCACCTGCTCTCAGTGAGTAGCTCCTCATCCTAGCAGACGAGTGGAGAGGGCTCCGACACACCTGACTCCTCCTGCTTCTTGTCTCCCACAGCTGTGATAAAAGTTTTTATGAAGCCAAGGATCTCCAGCAGCACATGAACAAGCACATGGGCCTGAAACCGTTCCAGTGCCAGGTGTGTGGGAAGTGCTACAGCTGGAAGAAGGACTGGTACTCCCACGTCAAGTCCCACAGTGTGGCCGAGCCCTTCAAGTAAGTCCGGTCCAAACAAACTAAACATTAAAGAGGTCATTCGTTGTGAAGAAGCTGCCTTTCAGATATGTTGGTACTGAAAAGTTCCTTTAATGCAGTTAATGTATAAATGACCATTTTTGCCTGACGCCTGATTACTAAATACTGTGGAAACGAGTTGCAGCACTCCTAGCTGAGCGGCTGCTTTTACTGCTGCAGATTTAAGATCCTTCTACTTAGTCTACCCTTAAAAGTATTTCCCATCTTAGACATTGTTCTGAATGTGTTTGTATGCACATGAACTAAAGTTGTGAAACTTCACTAGTCTGCCAGTTTGATTCAAATATGATTGTGTCAGCGATTCAGTTCAGCATCATGATGCAGCGTTTCCCTTACATAGGCGTAGCCGTGGCCCAGCGCCACGCCTGCAAGCTCCCCTTTTATAGATTATTTATTTGTTTATTTATTCTTTGCGCTGTTTCCCGAAGAAGCAGCGGGAACTACTCTGTTGTTGCTTGTTATCACAGCCGGCATGCAGCAAGGAGGAGCAGGCAGGGCAGGTTGGTTACAGCTAGAGATGAGCCGTGGATGAAGCATTTTTGACGAGTACGAGCATGAAACGAGTAAAACTCGTAAATATCTGTAATCGTGCTCAAGAAAAATCCTCATTGGGTAACTGACTGCCTTCGCCCTCTGTGATTGGCCAGTCACATGGAGCGCCCGCCCCTCCCTACACACAAAACGCTGATCCGCCACACACACACACACACACACACACACACACAG